TAACCTTGGTGCCCTGGCCCCTAAGTTAACTTCTTCTCTGGGTGGTCTATAAATTGGGTCGTTAGCAATTTGTTCTATAACAGGCATGTTTGTTCGAAATCCCGCCTGGTTCTGCCTACGCCTTTCTGAAGGAGCAAAGAAATCTGCTATTCGACTCATATTGTCAGCGTTTTCCCTGTTCGTCACAGTCACATTCAGCACTATTGGGGCGAATATTTCCTGCATGGTTTGCGCTAATACCCCTATCATATTATGGTTACTGTCATCCATCAATTGCCTAAAAGCCAACTGGTTATCTGTGGTTAGGATAAGCAATGTGCTATAACCCACTGACCCTTGGTTATTTGTCATACACTGATTCGCACCAGACCCAGACCCTAGTTGGGGAGATGAATTGGATGTGGAATTGTGTAAACCTGCCATAAAAGATGTTGGCATTCCATAGGAAGAATTTCTGATTCTATTCCCATCGAAATCGGGTGGTCTAGTTAATGGGGTGGCGAAATGGGATTGTGTCCCTGGTGGTGGAACGAACCCCCCAGGGTAGCCCATAGTTCCAGTATTTCCTAAGATCGAACTATTAGTTGATATGCCACTTGCTCCATTGGTGGCTATGTTACTGGTCGAAGATGCAACAGACTGTGCATTCGAAGGGATTACATTAGACGTTCCGCTCGAAATGGACGCGTTAGTGCCTGTTGCATGTGGGCCACTTTGGTCCCCTTGTTGATTGTCTGAATTAGACATTTTGTCCAAACGTTTTCTTCTGGATAAAGGTTGGTCGCTGTTGGTTATCTTACCACTTCTTAGGTTCATAAAACAGCAAACTTCTCAGGTTCCAACGTTTTTTGTAATGGTTACGTCTCGACAATTCTTAATTCTGATATCCAATTATTGGTCCCATCAGGTGTGCCAATTTGTTTCCAGTGATTTCTGGTAAACAACCGCTAGTCTTCCAAACTATCGAATAATCTTTCTTACTGTTATTCAATCCCTCTGGTAACTCACAGGATCGACTAGATTGATCCTAGGACTCCTTGGATATTAAGGTTACTCTCACAATCGAACAATTATTCATGGTTGATATGGTATAAGTGTTTGGCTTATTTCTATCTCTCTCTCTAAGAGTCTAAAGATGTAATCAAAATGTGTATGAGAATTAAGTTATACGAATAAATGCTAATTGTAATGCTGATTGTAAAGACATATAAAACTGCATGAAAATGAAGTAAATGGTTTCGATTTACAAAACGTTTAACATAAAAGGTTTCTGGAATGTAGAAGTTTAAAAATGTGAAGAAAGCGTTTAATGCAAGAAATTTGTAAATGATTTCAATTAAAAGTATGCGTTCGAAGGACGAGATTTGAATGTAAAGGTATGGAAAATGTGACAGTTTTCTGGAATATAAAGTGCTCGAAATATAAAGAAGATAATAAAATGTAAAACTTTGAGGCAAAGACTTCGAAATGAAAAGACTATAAATAAGAAAACTTGTAAATGTTGTTTGACAAAAAGAATAAAGGAAAGTACTGGAAATGGTAAAAGGTTTTCATTAAATCAGAAATACATGGTGCTATCATACATACATTTCTCTTGCATTCGTTTCCCTTGCCATGTGGTAGTTTGAATGTTATTGAGTATTTTGTATAATAGATATGACACCCTGAAATCCTAATACTAAGACTTCTATTTATACTAATTCGACCCTAACGGTCTCGCTATAGGAATATGCCACGTTTCGAACATGCAAGACAATGCTTCTTTCATCTTTCCACGTGTCCCCAAATGCTCCAACACATAACTTTCAAACTTTGAAAGTCCCGCTCCCATTTGAATTTTAAATGCTTTGGTGTTTCTCCGTTTCGAGCGTTCTTCCCAAACATAGCCTCGCTGTTGTTTCGAGACTCCTTTAGATAAGTTCCCATAATTGCCGCTCGAAGCTTCAAGCTTTGACACACTTATTCGAAACACTGCTTCTGCAACTTCGAAATATGGCGTTTAATTCCATTTCGATCAGAATATTTAACTCTTTTGGCTTCTAAATAACATTATCAAAATCTTCAGCCAACACAGGGTGACCATAAAGATGGTTGATGCATGCTCTACAAATCATGTTGAGGGACATGAATGACCTAGACGAGATTTGTCCCTCCTACATATACAGGAGTAATATCTATGGACCCCTTGATAAAATATGGTTGTAAAATGCATGGTCATGCTCAAATAAGTCAACATAAGATATTGGTCTTATTTGTTGTTATCAAGTATACTCGGAGATCAAGGAATATAATATTGGACTATATAAAGGTAACACATTCTATGTCCTATGTTCAATATGGATATAAGGGCAAAAGGATAATTGTACACATAATCATTATCATAAAAAGATTATGTTAGATCACTTGACATTCTCGTTACTTCAGTAATAATAATGTGTTGCTAGATATCACTTACTATTTATAATATTAAATATTATTGCCAACGTAACGAGAACCTATAAGGTCACACGCATATAATACTGACAATAGAACAAATGATTAAATTAAATATAACTTAATTTAATTAGATGTTAATTTTATTATTTAATAAATTAACACAAATATAATTTATCTCATTAAATAAATGAGAATGGACAGTTAATTAAGTTTAATACAATTTAATTTAATTAATATTTTATTTAATTTAATTTAAAAAGCTTAATTAAAAATAAATAATATTTATTTAATTAAAATAGTTTAATTAAATAAGATTGAGTTTATTTTGAAAAAGTCTAAAATAAGAGCATTAGAGTTTCAGCAGTTTTCTATAAATAGAGAAATTCTTTCCCTTGCAATCTTAATTGTCAATTTGTCAATCTCAGAAAACAGGTAACACCACGTTTTATTTTGTGCTCACGTGGACTACATAGAGACGTCAATATCTTCTGCCGTTTGTGATCAACGTTGAAGTTGTGATATATGTTAAAGTTGAATTGTGATAATTGTGAATTGCTTATTTAAGCAACTTCATTTTTTCGAGATATTATAATTTATGATATTTTGAGTTAACTCTATGATTCAATTAATCATATGTTTTATAAATATAAAACCTTTGTTAGATGTTGCTTTCACTTGGCAAATACACATTTGTTTTTAAAAATCCGATTTTAAAAGAAAAAAGTTTTGATAAATTGATTTTAGGAGAGTGGTCCATTCAACTCCCTTCTAAATCTTTCAAATCCAATATTCTCCTCCAACACAATAGACGTCAAGATACACAATTTCTTGAAATTTTATACCTCTCATATTGACAAACATTGATTTCAGCATTAAAATGTGTGTATGTACCACCTCCACCAAAATAGCCAAGCAACTAGGCATTTAAGAAGACTTTGCAAAAAATAATTTTTTGATTGTATTTTCTCTACGAGTGCTTCGAGTGTTGTTTTTGCATGTTAAATATTTCTTGAGCCTTAACAAATGATCCTATCCTAGCAGGGTTACTACTAAATTATGTTATTTATTTTTTACTAATAAGATTTTAAAGAAAAAATATCACGTGGTCTTGTGGATGTGCATCTCACTAATTTGACAGGAGAGAAATATTAGACAAATTTGAAAATAAAATTATTTTGTATTGCAAATTGTTGACAAGGTGAAAATTCACTTTTGACAAATTTGAAAATAAAATTATTTTGTATTGCAAATTATGAAAATTCACTTTTATTTTCACTTTTGACAAGGTGAAAATTATTTTTTATAGAGGTAATCGAAATCGAAATAAATTTTTCTTTTGATAAAAAAAGAAAAAATCTTTCAATTTCGATTATCTCTTTCATCCAAAATGATTTTTCTATAAATTATCAAATAATGACGATTCTTATTTTATTTCTTATATTTAATTATATTTTGTTGTTTGTGTAAACTAAATTTTTACGTTCAATATGTGTAGTGTGTAAGTGATCAATACTTCCTTAAGCACATATACAAATAAAACTTGGCTAGGCACACTCACAAAATTGAAAAATAAATAAATTAAAAATAATTTAGTTAAATCATTTCATATTATTTAATTTCTTTTTTATTTAAATTTATATATTTATGGGAGTGTGTCTAAATAGTACTTATTTGGGATTGTGCCCAAATAAGTATTTCTCCTAGGTAACTCTTTTTCTTGTAAAATAAAGTTGTAATGAAGTGAAAGGAAATCTTACATGGACAAAAGTTTAGATACAAAACTTAAACACAAACTCACAAAATAAAAAGATAGAAAATAAAAATAAAAATAATTGTATAATGTATATTTTTATAATATTTAAATGATATTTCTTTTAATTTTATTTATAAATAAAAGTCTTTTAAATTTTTTGAACTTAAATATAAATAAATATTCATAAATTTATGTGCATTCAATGTTTATATTACAAAATTATCTCTTCATTGATTACTTAATATTATTAGTGGGTAACAATTTAATTGAAAGTATATTAGTAATTAGATTATTTCTCTTACATGATATCAAGAAAAATAAATATACTTCTCTTTTAATAAACATAATTTTTTTTTTCTTCTTATAAATTAGGTTGGAGTAGTATATATTTTATGTGTATGCGACTTGTTGGGCATGTGAGGAAGGTAGCACTAAAAGAAAAAATAAAAGGACTAATGTGTATGTTTGGCTTTTTTACTTTAATAATTTAATAATTTGTCTTTATAGTAGACTTTGAGTTGAAGGGTACTTTAGAGAAAGCACAAGACGAGCGTGGAATCTTGAAGGACTCACAAGAAAGCAGTAAAGTCCGAAGAAGAGTGAGTACAATATCTTCCCACGCTCTTGACTTACCAGATCTCTCACACCTTCACTAGATCTTCTTCTTCCCATCCCTCACCCTAACCAAACACAATAATTGTTCATTTTTCATCAAATAAATAAATATAAAATATATATATATTTTTTAATGAGAAATAATGCTAGCTTCTGTTGTACCCGAAGCTGAACCAGAAGCTCTTTTTCATCTGCAATGGCAAATTCTTACAACACCATCATCCTTCTCATTTCATTCCTCTCATTTTCCTTCCTCTCCATTTCCATCTCAGGTAATCCACTCACTCATTTCAGCTTTTTCTATAATCCACGAAATAATCTATTATTTTTCTCTCGCAGGTGAAGCTCCATTCGTCGGCGTCAACATTGGAACCGACGTTGAAAACATGCCATCAACTTCCCACATAGTTTCATTTCTTCAGTTACAACAAATAACACACGTTCGTCTCTACGATGCAAACCCCGACATTCTTAAATCCTTGTCCGGAACCAAAATTCGTGTCATCATCAGTGTCCCTAACAACCAGCTTCTCGCTATTGGTTCTTCCAACACCACCGCAGCTTCATGGATCCAACGCAACGTCGTCGCTTATTACCCTCAAACATTAATCACCGGAATATCCGTCGGTGACGAGGTTCTTACCACTGTTGGTTCTTCCGCTCCTCTTCTTCTTCCTGCTATGGAGTCTCTTTACAATGCTCTTGTTTCTTCGAATCTTGATCAACTAATTAAAGTCTCTACTCCTCACGCTGCTTCCATTATTCTTGACCCCTTTCCACCTTCTCAGGCTTTTTTCAACCAAACCCTTGTTGATGTTCTTCTACCCATTCTTCAGTTTCTTTCCAACACGGAATCTCCTTTGATGATGAATCTTTATCCTTATTATGTTTTCATGCAGAGTAAAGGCGTTGTTCCTTTGGATAACGCGCTTTTTAAACCGGTTACTCCTAATAAGGAAATGGTGGATCCTAATACTTTGCTTCATTATACTAATGTGCTTGATGCCATGATTGATTCCGCTTATTTTTCTATGAAGAATCTTAATGTTACTGATGTTGTTGTTCTTGTTACTGAAACTGGTTGGCCTAGTATGGCTGATTCTAAAGAGCCTTATGCTACCAAAGATAATGCGGATACTTATAATTCGAATTTGATTAAGCATGTTTTTGATCACAGCGGGACTCCTTTGCATCCTGAAGCTACTTCTAGTGTTTTTATATATGAGCTTTTTAACGAGGATTTGAGGTCTCCGCCGGTTTCTGAGGCGAATTGGGGTCTTTTTTATGGGAACACCACTGCTGTTTATTTGCTTCATGTGTCTGGAATTGGGACTTTTTTGGCGAATGATACGACGAATCAGACCTACTGCATTGCTATGGATGGTTTTGATTCCAAGACGTTGCAGGCTGCGTTGGATTGGGCGTGTGGACCGGGAAGGGCTAATTGTTCGGATATTCAGCCTGGTGAGAGTTGCTATAAACCTAACAATGTTAAGAATCATGCCTCTTATGCTTTTGATAGCTATTACCAGAAAGAAGGCAAGTCTCCGGGGAGCTGTGATTTCAAAGGAGTTGCTATGATCACTACCACAGATCCCAGTAAGTTTCCTTCCTTCAATTTCATATTTTCCAAAATGGTGGAAGCTTGATGAATGCTAAACTAATATACACATTTGGAAAATTTGGGATTTCAATTCGATGCAGCATCAAATTTGACTTGATTCTTGCTCTTTGTGCTTCAAATCCTTGATGTTTTTTTTCCTAATTAGCTTACTTTAATGTTGTAAAGGGAAATAACTTGTGATTACTGTAACAAACTTGAGTGATGATTTTGAAAAGGGAAATAATTTAAAAGTAGAGAAGTATGGCAAAGTAATGTTATGTAATGATTCATGAAATGCATTTGTTTGTGTGTGGCACCCACTCAATAAAAAGGAGCTTTTGGTTTGGCTCTACTCTTGTTTTATGTGAAATTTGAAATGAAAAAAAGGAGACTAGGTATAGCACTGGCACCCACTCTCCATGAGTTGGATGTTTGCTTGTCATAGAGCACCTGTTTGTTTCTCCTCCTGACAGTTGCAAAGATTCTGGACCATGTTTCTAGATTACCTTCACATCAAGCACTAATCTCCGGATCTACGTTGTATGCAGTCACATGTCCCCGTGACTGTATGCAGTCAGCCACATCTGGAGACGGCCCAAATTCCTAACTTGGTAAAAATCAAAACGTGTAATGAAATCTTGACCGGTTGTGGCTGTTTCTCATCGGGTTGTTCAGATGTGCCGACTGCACACAATCCAAATCCTGAAAACCTTAATGTTCTTGCCTTACGACTTATTTAGTTTAGTACATTGTCTTGTAAGCATACTGACCCCAAATGCCTCTGCAGGTCACGGGAGCTGTGAATTTCCTGGAAGGTAAGAAACATTGATCTGCCTAGTGACCCTGTTGTTTTATTTATACTTAAAATGTGAATACTAAGAATTTTATCTAAGAGCGAGTCTTCATTTGATGTGATATTGCAGCAAGAACATAAGCAACAAGACAAAGGAAGTGGTGAATTCTACTCAATTAAGCAATGCAGGAGAGAAGTTAAGGTTCAGAACCATGAACAGCATCAAAATAAAGACAATTAACAACATTTTGCACATTTTCTTAACATGTCTCCCTGCTTTGTTGTTAGTCCTTTTATGAGATGCAAATAATTCAAATTTTTTTCCATGATGGAATTTTGTGTTAGAGTTAAGGATAACTCTGTAGGTCTAATCTTAGACTTAGTGCATATGATAGATGCTATGCTTCCCTTTTCAATAATGAAGTGGTGTGAATAAATTTTCACAGGGACCTTGTAATTAACGTATGTATTTGTTGAAATTACATTTGTTAATTAATTTGTTTAGTGACCATCATCATAATGTAATGTATCACACAGCTCTGGGAAATGCAATTTTTGTGATGTTCTGATTTAGTCTAAAAATGGCAACATATGTTTGTATATAATTGGACTTCTATATACTCAACATTTTAATCCTTAATATGATAGTACAGTTGTAGCATTTTATGAAGCAATATTGTTGACAACAACATCTTAGTGTATTTGTGAATCTCAAGAATCTTAATTAGAGCTCTTTAATTCATTCATGCATATGGAGTCATTTGGTTAACACCAATAAATCAATGATTAAAATTTTACCAATAGTAGTAAAGTAGCATCATTAGACCACATAAGCACAATACATGTGCTTTACTTCACCAATAGTGGAGCAGTCACAAACATGGTAATTGGATCTTATCAAAATACTAATTATGAAAGATATTCTTGAAATTAGCATTGTTAAGCTTAGTTTCATAAAGAAAAGTAGTGTTTTTTATTTTTATTTTTTATGATAAGAAAAGTAGTCTCATGATAATGGATATTGAGAAATTTTTTCATGGCTCTTGCTGTTCTTGAGTTTTTCGACCCTCAACAGTTTTTTTAGTTAAAGATCTTCATTTCTCTCGGTCGACCCTTTGAGAGGTGCCCGACGTTTGCTTTATAATCTTGTTGGAATGTCTTTAACGCATTTCTTTTTGTTGTTATGAATGAATCTGTTGTTTTTGGATTTTTAATAAAATAAAATATATTTTTGATGTTTTTTAAATATTATCAAAGTATACACATAAATCAAGTAGCATGTAAAAAAAATTAAGTAAAAAAGAATAGATTTGTTCATCTAAAATCAAAGTTGAAGAAATTTTTTTTGAAAAAAGTGGCTAAACAAGTAATGAAAAGAAAATATTTTTGGAAAAAAGTCTCAGGAAATCAATTTTCAGAAATTGGGGAAACTAGTTTCCCTTGCGAAATCTGCTTGACAGAGGCGTTGGAAGGTAAAAATCAGTTATGGAAACCGGTTTCCTCATTTCAGGAAACCAGTTTCTGTAATGAAAAATCCAGAAACAAACAAAATTTAGCCTTGGAAACCGGTTACCCTATTTTGGGAAACCGATTTCTGCTTCGAAAAATCAATTTTTTTAGTTTTTTAGCAACACAAACCTCAAGCTCAAACTTTCAAAAATGGTAACTGATCTTACTAGTTGATAAGAATCTGGCCGGATGATGATCTTCAGACGGGCTAGAAAGTCGAGGAGGGAAAAATGGGTTGTACCTGCAAGACACTCTGACGATCAAATAAGTGTGAGAGCAAAAAGAGATACAAGCAAAGTATTAGAGTTTTAGTGATGAATAATCGATAAATCGATTCCTGGTCCTCACATGAATGAGGGTTTATATAGTTCCCCCGACGCTTGGCCATTGGTCCCTATTTTTGGATCTAGATATGCGGGTCCGCAAAAATAAGTAACTGTCAGGACTTGGTTAAATCGGACAGGTGTGCCCGCAACTATTCGTTAGTTCCGAGGAGGAGGTAGGTTACGGGCAGCAGTCTAGTCGATTCCTAGTTGTCTGGCCGACTTGAGATCAGATAGACTGAGAGGCTCTCGTCGATTGTCATAGGTCAATGCTGGTCCAGGAGGACAAACGATCGATGGTGCCCGATAGAGGGCGGGGGAGCTCGGGTCATGGTCGCACGGGCCGTACTGAAGGAGGAGGTCAGACTGGGCCACTCTAACTATTGGGCAAGTCCAGAACAGTAGCCCTCAAGTCGTTGCTTTTGGGCACATGAGTGATAACTTTAACACCTACTGTAGAATGAGGTGCTTCTTACGGGGAGCGTGAGCATCACACGTTCTGCCTTTCTCACGGGGAGATGATTAGTTGGTCGTTTGAGCTTCGAAAATTGAAGAGGTGGTGTGTTTTGGGTAGTATGCTGACGCAGTGACGCAATGAGGGGCTAGGGTGCGATGATGACGATCCTACGGTTCCCTAGGCGTGTGTGTCTCACGCGCGGGCAAGTTTAGCTATAAATATGAGAGGAGTAGGACATTTTGCATTTTTTGTTCTTCTCTCACATTACTCGTTATTGCTCACCTGTCGACCGCCACTGTTTCCTGAAGACTAACTGTTCGCCGTTGTTCCTTTGAATTTCCTTCCTTCTTTAATTGGTAAGATTCCAGATTTTCATTGTTATTTAGTTGTTGTAGCATAGATTTTCACGTTTTTCTTCTTAGAAATGCATGCGGTTAGGCTTAGGATCCTGTCTGTTAGGGTGTTCTTGGGGAGTGTTGGTGGTAGACGGTGGTTCTGTAGTTTAGAATCGCCGGAGCCGCCGTGGATCCTCCCCAGATTTTTTCACGACGTGTCGTAGATGGTCCTTGAGGATTTAGGTCATTTTGCTGACTGGAGTTCGCCTAGTTAGGGAAAGTGGTTGTTCGTTTAGAGATGCCCGTCTCGAATAAGTATCTCAATTGCATCTTTGAGGTGGATGCAATCGTTAGTGTCGTTCTCGTGGCTCTTGTGGAACATGTAATATTTGCTCTTATCTGTCCCAAGCTTGGAGGATGTTTGGCAAGGAAAGCGCACCCTAGCTTGCTTGAATTCTGAATTGGCGCATTCTGTTAAAATACACTCTCGAGAGGTATTGAGGGGGTGTAGTCGTGAAAACGACCAGATGGCCCCTTGTAATCTTAGGAGTCTCAGGATTTGTCTTCCCGCTTCTTCTTTCCCCCCCCCCCCCCTCCGACGGGATGTCGAGGGCTCGTCGCTTTTCGAGGATTTGGCATTCTCCTTGTGTCGTGAGTCCCTTGCATTATTGGTTGCATCCTTCTCTTCATACTGAATGTACGCTTGGGCTTTAAGTAGGAGGGATTCGATCCTAGGCAGAGTCTCGATGCCAACAACTTTGGCAAAGTCGCTGCGGGGATAGAGCCCGCGCTCAAAGAAATATTTTTTCATGTCGTCGATCGTTGAGACCTACACGGCTTCATTGTTGAAGCCATTAATGTAAGATCGACGAGACTCATCTCTTCCTTGGAGGATTGCTTCTAGTGATGCTTCCGACTTAGGATGTCGACGAGAGGTAGTGAAATACCTTGAGAACATCTTTCTAAGCTGTTTCCAGAAGGTAATGGATTTGTCTGGGAGGCTTTTGTACCAGGACATGGCACCTTTCTTCAGGGTAGTTGGGAACAGTCTGCACTTGATGACGCCCATCACTCCTTGGTAGTCGAGGAAGACGTCGATATTCTCTATGTGTTCATCAGGATCAGTTGTACTATCATATGTTTCGAACGAGGGTGGCTTCTCTAGGACGATCGGGAGCTAGGCATCTATAACCTCTCTTGATAACGGGCCGCGGGGCTCGTTATCGTCGCTTCCTTCGGGAGATGATGACGGGGAGTGATGGTTCCTTCCCCATCGGACATCGTTGTCTCGCTGATGGGAGGGGCTTCTCTGCAACTGCCTTTGTTTGGGCGACGATGATCGGCCGCGTCGACCCAGCGATCACTCTTTGTCTTCTTGGAAGATGGAGAGCCTTGATCTTTCTTGAGTGGTGTGCGGTCGCGTTTCTTGAGGAAAGAAACATTGTGCTTCTCCTTTCTTAGTGGACGGCCACGCCTAGGTGGGGATATTGTTGGGGGAGTCATGTCGTCGGTGCCTCCGGGGAGGAGACTTTGATTGTTTCTTCTCCCAGGCCCCTATCTTATTGCTTTGTTGCAGGACAAGGGCGTTAGTCTAGTTGAGGCAGCGAGCAATGCTGCCATGGCCGGGTCGATATTCCGAGGAATGAGAACTGGTCGCAAAATCGCCGGCAGTTCCTCGGTAGGGTTCTTGGGACACTGCTCGTCCGAAAACTAATGCTCGTCGCATTGGGCGTCAATTGAATATAGGGATGCAGTCTGTCCGTCTCTGACGTCGAAATCGTACTCGAGGTAAGGATGTTCCTTTGGTCTTGTAGACCGGGGAAAACACAGTCTTTTCAGAGAGGTGATGATCATCATGGTCAACCATGATTGAAGGATTGGAGGTATCTTTGGTCTTCAGATTTTGGGGAAAGAAAAACGGGAAAGATGGTTTCCCACAGACGACGCCACTGATCTTCCCGGTTGATGAGAACCTGCTAGTGGGTCGATGGGTGATATCTGACTTGCTGGAAAGTTGAGGAAAAAAAACAGAAGTTGTACCTACAAGACACTCTGACGATCAAGTAAGAATGAGTGCAAAGAGATACAAGCAAAATATTAGAGTTTAAAGTTTAAATATTGGATACCTGACCCTTACATGTGTGAGGGTTTATATAATGCTCCTGGCGCTTGACCATTGGTTCCTATTTTTGGACCTAGATCTGCGGGTCCGTAAAAATATGTAACTGCCAGGACTCGGTCAAAACGGACAAACGTGCCCGTAACTAGCCATTTGTTTCGAGGAGGAGACGAATTACAGACAGAGTGGCATTCTGGACGTTTTCTGGTCGCCTGCCCGACTCGTGTCGGCCAGACAGAGAGATAGCTGCTGACTTGGTCAGGTGTGCGTATCGAACATCGTTGGTCGAACTTCTTGGAGCGTGGTCGGCCAGAGATATTGAGACAATGTTTTGGGCCATGCCATGGATAGAAGCGGATTGAATCAATTCTAACTATTAGATCAGTATATATATATATATATATATATATATATATATATATATATATATATATATATATATATATATATATATATATATATATATATATATATATATATATATATATATATATGAGAATGTGAAAATGTAATAACAACCACTAAATTTATATTTAATGGTTAAGATTAAAAGATA